TCTGTCTGTCTGTCTGTCTGTCTGTCTATCTATCTATCTATCTATCTATCTATCTATCTATCTATCTATCTATCTTTCTATCTGTCTGTCTATCTATCTGTCTGTCTGTCTGTCTCTTACATCAGCTATTAGCTTACTGTGGGGGTTTTGGTTTTCTCTGGCACACTCTGTGTTTTCCTGTGTCTCTGTAACTTAATTAATATTCAAATATTGTACATAAATATAATTATTTTGCTAACATTTATAAAGTCACATATGCACTTTTATCAACTTTTTTCCCCCTTTCCTTGTTCTTTGATGCCTATAGATTGTTTTAAAGATTTTTTTCCATCAATTTTTCAGACTTCTGTTTGCTGAAAACATCAATAACCTCAAAACTGGAGAGAACACAGAGGACAGAAATATGTGCATCACTAAACAATATTTTGTAGTGCAAAGACTGTATTAATAAAATGCATGATATTATTTTAAAAACAGTTTGGTTTTTTTTCACTCTAAAACATTTTTCCCAAATGTAAATGTTGACTGATAACGTGACGTTCGGTCGGGAGGCGGAGCCACGTGGTCACGTGACTGGCGTCTCCAGGAAGTTTTGGAAGCAGCTGATTAATATTCATGAGCACGCCTCCACCACAGCAGCTAGTGAAGCGAGCAGCGCTATTGATCTCCATGGCTGCTCTTACAGCTGTACAATGCGGCGTTATCTTCGAGTCCTGTTCGTCTGCACGCTGTTCGTCTTCTGCTCGCTGCTCTACATCTTCAATCAGCTCGTGTCGTCTCTGGAGCGCGAGGACCACCAGCAGCGAGCGGACACAGGCCTGAGTGACCGCGCGCGGGATGACAGGTAAACAATAACACACACACACACACACACACACACCTCACAACAACATCTGCACGACACACACCCGAGCTTATAAACACTGGACTCATGGTGTGACCGCGTTCAACTAGCTTTAATGACTGGACAGGTGTTATAAATAACTTAAATCTTAACCAGTGCTGCGTTTCTGAGTAATTTGATGCAGAGGATACTCATATAAGGCTGTTGTGGTAATTTAACAGTCGTTTAGGCTGGATTTCTGCTCGTTTAACTCTACTAATTTGATCACATTGCTAACATCTACTTAATATTCATAAGCTTGCTTGTAATAGTAGCCGTTCATTCGCCCGCTGAGTAGCGCCCGCCTATCGGTCCGCCTTTCAGCCAATCAGCGAGGCCTACTGGGGCGTGCGTCATGTTAGGTACTTAATATTCATGATTCAGGTCATCTCGAGTCCATTTTGGTCAGATGACGGGTTTGTATTTTAATTTAAAAAAAATTTTTTTGTCATTTTCAGTTTTTCTCTAAACTCTTCCCCAGACACCAGTTTGAAAACCCCTGTGTTTCTAAATTTATTTATTTTTTATATCTATTATATATTTATTTATCTGAATACAAAGGCTCTTTCTTCTTACACAGACCTGGATGTCAGGTCACAGATGTTTCAGGGCGTCTCTGATTGAGACCCAGCTGGTGTGTGTGGGTGTGTGTGTGTGTGTGTGAGTGTGTGTGTGTGTGTGTGTGTGAGTGAGTGAGTGAGTGAGTGAGTGTGTGTGTGTGTGTGTGTG